GAAGTCCGCTATCGCAAATTATGAAAGATCAACTTACTGTCATTATGTAGTTCGAGATTCGCATTTGTGCAGAAATGAAAACTCGTACATTAAATTTGTGTGCTGGAGACATGGCCGTATAACATCTAGCGATTCGTCACAGCGGATTAGACGGAGGAGGTAATTTTATAAATGTTATTAACATTTTTTGTCATGAAGGGCTTCCATGAACACTGAACGTCCGGCGTTCATGTATTGTAAGATTATCGACGGCTACTGGACTGTTGTACGTGGGAATGTGCATCACAATCACGAGTGCAATTCCCTAAGGTACCAAGGAAATTCATGGGTGCGCAGGTTAACAGAGGCGGAGTTTGAAAATGTGCGACCGCTGCTAATATCTGGTACTGCTTCATTCCACATTAAGAATTATGCTTACCATTCTTATGGGAAACTACTTACTGATCAAGATATCTATAATATGCGGTACAAAGTGTTCTCACAGGCGAACATTCCTTGTAAGCCATTTGCCAATTTATAATGTAAACGATAGGTGATTACGGGAAATTGAAAGCGCACATAACATCTTTGGGTGGGCGATGCGAATACGAATTATTTCCCAATGCAATTGAGCCAGCCGAGCATGAAGAATACAGTGATTGCGTTAATCAGGCGACTGTCTGAGGAACAATGCAGTTCACTTTATAGCCAGTTTTATCAAGAACTTCACGGTAGACTACCACCAACGCCGTTGAACTTACAGGCTGAACCGCAGTTGTACAGTGGAACAAGCATGTCGACTAACTTTACAACGCCGTTGATGCATCGAGGAAATGTCGATTTGGATGAAACGTTAAGTAACGACGAGGATGACGTAGTTTCTATAAACTCAGAAGAGTTAACAGAACGGGACATCCAAAATGAAGAAGATGAAGAGAACCGTTTGTGTGACATCTGTAATCTTGCACAGCCGCCCTATGAAACTGGTGATGAAGTGGGTTGGGTTTTCTGTCCTTGTGAAGCTATGTTTCATAGATTCTGTGCTTATGACCCATCACCGAACGTACGAGCAGTACACTGTCCGATGTGTGGCGCCATTACCAACTAATAGTTTGGACGTCCCACCGCGAGAACGATTAAAGGCCCTTTTCAGGGCCACCCACAAATTGATTTAAAGGCATTTTTCCCAATATTGTTTTTGTCTTTGGCAAAGGTCAAGTGATTAAGCACTTTTTAATGTCGAATGCATTTCGATATACCTTAGATATTAATAATCGATAAGCGATTATCGCTCATGTATTCGTAAACTTGTTTCTAATGTATAATACATATAAAGGTTAAGAAAGCAGACAAGATTTTGTCATTTTATGAACACTTATCTAATAATTTTAGATGTAAAATAATGTGATTACCGTTCATGTCTTAGTAACATATTTGTAAACTATCTATTACTAGTACATTTTAATAGGAATATTTTAATATAGTGAAAATCGTTATTTTGTCGTTAGGTGAATAAATTTAGTAGTGAATATAATAAGATAGTTACAAAGATGAATGTGATTAAAGCTCATAGAGAAGTAAACAAAATTGAGAAAAATATCTTCCTTATGAATAAGATACTGACATTATAAAACAAGTTGAAGCCGTCATCATTGAAATTAGTAATCCGATTAAAAGGTCATATAGTAAGTGTTAAAAGAAATGAGAATATTATCCGTTTCATGAATACAAAATGCAAGAATTTCATATTCCAGTTTTATATTAATAGTACCTGAAACCAGAACTAAGCGTACGTATGAATTAAGTCCGATCGTCAACTAAGCCTTCATTGTTATTCATAACCACTGATTATATCAACGTATTCATTTGCACACCCATATAACTATTAATTACTGGTACAATCACACTATACAGTTATAAGTCCATAATTTCCATATTTTATAAAGGCCAAAAATATGTCATGGCATTAATGAATTTGACAATGTAATGTATTAACAATGGTGAACGTTTACATCTGTTACGACATATATATATATAAATTACAAATTGTAACATTTGCAAATTACAAAGGTCATTCAATAAAGGTCTGGATTATTTGCAGTACAGTGTTCAGTCACAATAAGTGGAAGAGCATTATAGGAAAATTTAAAATGCAAAGAATTTTGTGTCAATGAAATGCATAGTATGACAATTGAATCTTGTCAATTGACATAATAATAATAATAATAATAATATAATAATAATAATAATAAGGAAAATACATAATAATAACATTGTAAATGTTCATTGATGCAGTTGACCTTATTCATATTTATACGTTTAAAGTCGATAGATGAAACTGATATTTCAAATGCTTGTCAAAAATGGTTACATTCATAATGTCTAGATAACTCAGGTTTCATATTACGGCGGTTAACAATATTCACACATGGCTGATTAAACACACATTAGTTTTTATTACGACCAAAAAATTAATTTTAAAATACAGAACTACAAATAATTTACAAGTGAACACAATAAACCGTTTCAATGGACTTTTACAAATTAACCACATTTAAATCTAACGTTGTCTAATTCTCATTATGAATGAACATTTACAAAATAATCGTTTACTAAATATTAAGTGCCTATTTCGGTTAAATTTATTACTACATTCATATACTGTCAAAGTCAGTTCATTCAATGATGGTATACGGTTGCTTCACCTGAATCATAAATATTGCAACTAGTAAGTTATCATGATGAATTATTGATATGTTGATTTATTTCTCCTATGAACAGACCATGTGTTACCAAAAAACTTATGCATACACTTTAGTGATAATTTGTTTATTAATTTGGTATTAAAGATTTGACTACTGACCTCATTCAGTAATCCTTATTATCAAATATTCAAACCGGTTTTCAGTTGTTTTTTTCAAAAAACTTTCTTTTTATGTGATATATATAAGTACTCGTGACATTAAAATTGTTTATCGGAAATCAAAAATTTATCCCAATACGCATTCAGTGACAGTAGGATTGCACTTAAGTTAGTGTTTTTTTCTTAAAATGTCTAAATTTCTTACAAGACTAAGATTACACAAAAAGATTTATTCATTATCGTTAAATTTCAAATGTAAAAATCAAAATTCTGACATCCAATCACAGCTCTAGATACGATTTCAATTTCAACTAATCAGATTACAAAGATGAACAGTTTACGACCAATTACAAAATGATTAAAGGTGACAAATTGTTTATTCATTATCACTTGAGCACACACCTGCAAAACAAGTACACCAATCACCGATCGCTAAATTTTTCTTTGACACCATACATTTTTTTAGAAATGGGGGGTAGGGAATCTTAATTGCCGTGGGCAAAATGTCAACATCGTTTCAAGTCAGAACATGTGAATTTAGTATAGTGAAATAAAATAAAATTGTTAATGTTGATATGACTTAGATGGTATGTTAACTTGAATCAGTTAAATGAAATTATGAGAGTCTCGGTCAGAATAAATATGGGTCAGATAGGGTGAGAGAAATAACAGTGTAATTGTAAATTGGATCAAATTTTTGTGTAGAAATTTATATGAAATTAGTAATAAATAATAAAATGGGGTGAGTGCTAAGTAGATAAATCATGTATTCGGGAGATTATTGGTGATATTAAACCAATAATAATAATAATAATAATAATAATAATAATAATAATAATAATAATAATAATAATAATCTTCGTCTTCTTATTATACTACCGACATTTATCAAAAGGGACTAATTGCTTTAAGTAATATAAAGATAAGTAAATAAACGTAATAAAGTTATTTATATTTGAATAACATAGGTTGTAAGTACATTTGTCATATTAGGTCATTCAGTAGTTAATAGTATTGTTGATTAAATGGCTTTGAGGTTGGCCAAGGTAAGAAAAGGGCTTGAAAATATTCCTTTCGTACACACAACTCCGGTTTTTCAATCCGAATGGTTATTACCTATGCCGTCTAAAAGACTGGGAAAAAATTACTGACCCGATAAATAATTGAGAAAAATTGGCTGTGGACAGTTTGCACTAGGTGAGTCAATACCGAGACGTCCACTTTCCTCACTAGACATTTGCTTAGTCAAAAGACAAAAATGCTCTATTTACAAAGTACGGAAAGGATATAACTCAACATTTTCTAAAGTAGTAATTTAAAAAATTGCCTATAACAAGTTAAAGAACCTGAGACAGTAAAAAGTCATAACAGTTATTAACAACTTTTAAAAAGTATAAAATAAAAAAGATTATTAGATGACAGTAGTTTTAACAAAAGGATTTCATGAATAATATGTTGGGAAAAAACAACGGTGCACTGAAGTTTCAGTAAAGTGATTAGCAATCTCTCCATTTTGTTGTGTTCATCAATTAATTTAGTAGCTGGAAAATATTTAGTCACGAGGGGAAGTTTACGATGACAACTTGACTTAGAGTTGGTTTTTAATTGTGTAGTGGGATGTCAGCTTGAGTTACAATATACTGAAAACTGTGCCGGACTGATAAAGCTACTTTATCCTAGTTTACAACTTCCCCATCAGTAGCTAAGACCCATGACCCCATTACGAATCAGTCAAATGCGTGATGTAAACTAACATTGAATTCAAAAACATTTTATAAATATTTACAGTAATCAGAAAGGCAGTAAAGTAAACAGATTACTTCCGATTTTCATAACCTAATGTAATACAGTTATCGTAGTTAATTTGATTAAACATCAATCAACTGATAAAGATATATCGTCACTGTAAAACATAACTCAACTAGGATTATTTTATTACACAATATCAAAAACCTAATTAAGTATATTGTTGGATAAAATGAGTGATTATAACTAATATATGTGTGATCCGATTGTTTGAAATGTATTGCGCAAATATATCACATAATTCTGATAAACTACGTCTTCTCATTGCATTATCGAAATTTATCAAAGGGACTAATTGTTTTAAATAGTTAAAAAGATGGAGCTAAATACCACAAAATCAATTAATACTTACTTTAGCTTGTACATGTTCCAAATGTACAACACGATGTGATAGATCACCTGCAAGAGCTGCGGCTGATTCACAACCATCAGTAGTTAAAGCTAAATTTTCTTTAGACATTTGTCTAATAGTAATTGGATCACCGGTCATTGGAGCTTGAGCTTCGCATACACGTTGTGGTGGTACATTAGTCCAATTCAAAGCTAAATCAACCATAGCGGCGGCATCCATTAAACCATAACTAATAATGATTGATAATTGAAAATTAAAAAAAAGTATAATTAATACAACTTATGACTACAAAAGGTAGATTGAAAAGAATATCAGTAGTATATGGAAAAACTGAACTAGGAAAGTTGTACCATTAAGATTCAATGAAAAATTTTCAGATGCATTAACCAACTGGTTTCTGAAAAAAAAATAGCGGTAGAAGTAAAGTAAATTTTACGCCACTTATATACATATATATTAGCACAAAGGGTTATCGAAATGCATATGCGCCACACAATAAGAAAATGCGATTCCTAAGTGGTGGAGAACGGAAGGTGAATATAACAAAAAATAATAAACGATTAAAAATAACTAAATAAGAGTAGAAGAAATGATGGTGATAGCAGTTCAGTTAAGAAGAATACAACCAGAAAGAATTCTTCCAGTTAAAGAGGTTACGTCCACTTTGATGAAGAAAGTAAAAGAAAGTTACAGTACGATAGCCATTGGTTTCTATTCTGAGCCATGTTTGATAACGCCTCAAGCCACTGTGTTGTACTATCTCCAGGACCCCAACCAAGGAGTCATGAAGGTCCAACAAAAGCCAGTCCCGTATAGAGTTCTTTTATGCCACGACATTATGTCATACGCTGACCGCCTCTCCACTTCTTCTAACCAGTCCCAGAAACGGAAAATAAGCCACGATGTAGAATTCAATTAATAATCAATAGAAGCTTCTCAGAGTTCTAAAAGGACAATAGATTATTTGTTCGACGCTTCTAGAACATCTAGGCAATATATATCTATAGTTATTCTCTTTTTCAGCAGCAGAAATAACCATGGAAGTAAGGTTGTATTTTAGAATTACAGCCTTTTGCCTTCGACGTGAGGTTCAAGTACAGATATTTTTGGGACTAGAATGATAATGAAGTCAATGTTGAGTGTTCCAATACAATATATTACCAAGTAATTACAAAATTTTTTCCTTATGAAAATCACAATTTCAGTTGTATTTAAATAATTCGCGCGTAACTTGTGAACAAATGCCCCCAAATACCCCAGTGCGCTCCCTCTCGAAACGTACTCACTTGGCTACATGTATACATCTACTGTCAAGGAAGTCCTACTCACTGACTTCTTGCGGCACCGCTGTTGTTTACGAAATTGAGAGGACGAAAAACAAATTTTTAGAACTTTAACTCGATTTGTGGATATAGAGGAACTAACTAGGAGAGTTATAAACCCCTGATTACAAACAAATGGTGCAGATAAGCTCAAAGATCCTGAAGGAACAAATGGCGTATGAACCAATTATCGGTCACCGGCTACCATGGGACTGCATCTCCTAACGTTGTTCCACCGCCCTGCAGACTAGACCTCTAGGTCAAAGGCCCGAGGAGTGGCCTCACAAGAAAACCACCTACTTCGGTTTGGGAGCCCGGACAGTATTTCAGCTTTCATACAAACCGAATAATGAAGTGTGGCGCAGATATATTTGGTTCCTCCTTATATTAACAATGTTTGTGTGTTTAAATAAATAAACTAATATGGACAAACTCAAGGCTGACTTTGATATTTGGAACTATTTTAATCACGGATTATATTTATGATAGATTTTGAGATGATGGAGAAGACAGATACGTATTGGATAGAGAAAGAGGCCATAATTCTCCCTAGCTTTCACTTTGTGTACTATAATAAACGTTTAAGCATACCATTCAATATTGAATATTTTAAGAGTGGTGCCTCTTGCTAGATGATATCGCCTGGTGAACTATTGAGAACTAGGAAATATTAGATATTATTTTAGTCTATGACTCCTTTCGCAATGATTGGGTATGTGTTCGACCTCAGGATTTTCAATTCTTATAACACTATCACTCATAATGATAGCTATCAGTGAAATAAATGAAATCCCTCTACAAAATGAAATTATTCAATTTATTACTTCTAACCACTATGAATATTGAATAGCAGTACTGGTTTATGACTGTTGTATCTTTCTAATAAATACAAAAACATTGATTTAAAAATTTTCCAATTATTCTAATTTCATTTATTCATGAAAAAAACACGTCGCCATTATGACATAATAACAATGCTATTTCATATTCTTCTTATACAACTCAACTAAGAAACAATCTATTCAATACTTTCCTGTTATCGTTGTTAGTATATTGTTTATTATTAGATAATTGATGAACAGTTTCTTCAATTCCAGTTTTTTTCTTACATAATGACATTTAGCAAGTAATAAAAATTATACAATTGGAAGAGAATAAAAATAAAGTTGTCGCCTAAAAATCAAACACATAAGTAGAAAAAATAGGGATTCAACTAATTAAACATTTTATACCATGAAAAACAACTTTTTTCAAAAAAAACCCTTTTTTTTCCTTCTAAATAAACAGACGCCAATAGACGATGACATTGTAAAGTCTAAGAGTTAACCGGAAGAAATCCTTCGCTCCTTTTCATTATGAAAGATGATTTAGTGAAAACTATTAACACATACAATAGAACATAGAAAATGATTGAGTGAATACATAATTAGATTATAGAATGTTTGATATAATTTTTGTTAAAATGATAAAGGTATTCATGAGTTTATCATAAAATCATTTGAAAAAAACGAACAAGTTAGTTGCTTTTTGTAAAAATAACTAACAAAAGATCTTCATAAATACTGCTAATTATCAACTAATTAACACCGAATAAGTATGTTTGACAATCTTTGAGATCATACAAGACAATATTGTATCGTTTATTGTTTTTATTTCATAGAAACGTAAATTGTCTTGTTATTTATACATAAAATTAAACATAAAAGAATAGATTTTATCAGTTAAATGATAGAGAAGATAAAAAGAACTGAGAAATGATATCTTAATATTTATCTCCCCTCTTCAGGTTCTCCCTTTTGTCTTTTTCTTTCCACAATCAAAATTTTATTACCAGCATCTGTTTAACATAAAATCATTGATTATAATGATAATAAGACTACATTTTAACACAGAATATCGAAATTCTATTTAATCAACCAATAGCACTATATATTTCAATTCGGGTATGCTAAGTACTATCATCTTGTGTATTAAAATGTATATACTTGGATGAATAAACAAGATTACGGAATTCAATAACAAGTAACCAAATATTTCTGCATGAATGAATACTTAACAATAAAGGAAGGATAGTGGGATATGTTAATAACTGTTATCATGGCATAAACTGATATTCAGAATGAAAGATCAAGCCCAGCTAACTAAATTGTATCACAAAAGAACACATGAGACAATAGCGAACTAAGGAATCATTTATAAAAATATAAAGATATGATGTGATAGTTTCGATACATTTATTTATTAGTTAGAAATTTCGGTGCATACTGGATTTCATATACTAGTACTCAATGAGTTAGTCGATATTCCCAGTTCTCATGAGAAAATGTCTAACTTCAAGCTAAAAAAACCCGGGTACACTTTGGACATAACACAGGAGCATATAACCTATAGGAGAATTATGTAAACAAGTATCTTCCGACAGTAAACAATACATAGAACGAGTTACAAAATGTTGAAATTAAAAAGATATGAAAATACGGTGGATGGAAGAAGACAGAAACAAATGAGGTAATAAATAAGTTTATGTTAATACTAAACGAAGTTAAAAAAAGCCATAAATTTTTATATTAAGTAATAATTGAAAGAGAAGAAAATTAATGTGTAGGAGAAGAAAAGCATCTGATTTAAGCGAACATCTCTTACCAGAATTGTTCATGAATAATTAGCAAGAAAAATTAATTTTTATTTTCAACCGATTTAATGCCTGATGTCAATCTGAGGGGATGAAAACGAAAGTGAATGAGGAAAATAAGTTAACAGATAGTTAAAACAAAAAGCAGACAGTATAGTGACAAGATAAAATTCACTGTGGACAAATTGTTAGCATTTTTAAGAAAAAAAACAATGAAAAAACAACAAAGATGAGAAACTATTTAAGAAATAATTGAATGTGTTCACTGTACATTTTTGACTAATTGGAAAAGGATGGTGATGACTGAAATGAATTCTTTATCCAGGGTTACAAATTTAAGGTCAAGTATGATACAATAATTCAAATAAAGAACATTTTGGTAATACTTTCCTCAAAGTATTTCCAAGGAGCGCATCATGAGATCAAGTCTGTCGATTAAATACAATGTTCGACACAGTCCTATTCAACTGACGAATCCTAAGAAGGACGAATTAGGTAATTCGCATTTCATCATTAGTCACTGCTTAACAAATACCTGCCGAGTAATAAAAAGATTATCTTGGCTGTTTTTAGCTTGAATTCAATCTTCTATTTACCTTTTTTTAACTCTCGTTCACTTTATGGGGACAATTATTGGTCGATGATAATTGTGAAGGTAAAGTAAAATAAAATGAAATAACACATGTGTAACTTAAACATTTCACTATGCAAACGATACAGTACCACAACAAGTTTAAAATTACACTTAAATACTTTGTTCAAGAAAACATGGGTGAAAGTAATGTTTCTGAGGAATCTTCCTTGTAAACTGACGTCAACTGGAGAACTGTTGAAGAACAGTAAGCACTGAAAAATAATTTCCTATTGTTTAAAAAGTGACTAAGTAGTAATGAGTTTCATATGCAGTCTGCACACTATCAGTTCTATCTTAAATACACAGGTGAGGACTTTCGAAAGTAGACAGTAATACCTCTCTATAAATTTTCTGCTTTTTAACAACTTTCGATTTAATAAAGGGTTATTGATGATTACATTTAGGTTAACATTCCTCTGCATTACTATTGACCTATGGTGAAAATGTTTCACAGCTTTTTGTACCAAAACTTCGCTAATGTTATCTTAAGTCACTTCTTTCGTTAAACAATACACTGCCTGAATTAGAAACAAATTATCAAGTTATATGATGCGCCTAGATTGTCTTTATGGTGAACAAGACATGATGTATGGTAGGTGTTTTGACCTAGCCGAAGATCACTGTCCACATGAACACCATTTGAGCAATGACGAATAATTGTAAATATACATCAATTAAAATATCATCCGACACACAGAGATTCTTAAGTACGTTTTTCTTTTTAAACTAGAACTGTTCAGCTGTTCAGCTTAACAGTTTATGTGGAAATCTAAAAATTAGCTGTGTGCTAGTTGATTAGTTAGTGGAGAAACAAGCGAGATATCATAGGAGGATTACCATTTATAACATGTCTAATGACAAGACAATTGTGACATAACCTAAAAAAATTAATAAGGAAAATCAACAGTATTCATTCTATTGATATATTACACAACAGATTTTCACAAAACATAAAGTGTCTGCAAAGTTATAAACTGAAAGTTAGCGTTAACGTAATTCAGTACATATTTAGGTCGTAGCTAGCAAAGGAATTCAAGAAGTAAGTTTTGACCGATTCAGGATTTAGTATCTGTACTTATCCTATATCCAAGTGTTGATATTCATTCCGAGAATTCAGCCTAGTACCTATCACTTCAGAAGCATGTCCGTTTTTCATTAAGCCAGTGATCCCGGACAGTCGAGTTTATGGCAGATAGTTTATAAACAGACAATCAACTAAAGATACACATATGTCAACAAAAACTGGTCAAAATTTAGTCATAAATATAAGTAACGGGGTAATATGAACCCTTTGCGAATGATTTATTGGAGTCAACATACATTTAATTATATATTTTGTCATGTAGTTTCATACTTCATAAAACTCCATTATTCTATTCTCCCATTTATATTTAAATATAAGAAATGTTAATTCTAACTACTGAAGTGAATAGGTTATCCAGTTCTCTGAAGATTTACTATTATTTGTTTGTCCACTTGTGTTGATTATTATGAATGTCCCAAAATTCTAGTTAGAAGAATCAGCAGAGTTAACCAATTCAACGAATAACTCGCTGACAAAATTGGATATCGTATGCAATATAACGTAGATATACTAAAGTCAAAAATATAAGATATTCAATTTCAACTAAATAGTCGATCGATATTATATTCTTTTATTGCGATGTGAATGAACACTGTCAGTGATGAATTGGCGGTTCCATATATATTACCTTATTTAGTATACATGTATAAGTAAAGATTTAAGGACAGACATGTTGGTAATATCGAATGCATCTCCAACATTACTAATGATATTTATTCGCTTATCCAGAAATAGAAATTATAATTCATATATTTATATAATGTGATAAGTTACATAATACATAAACATGATTATTTTCTTTTTTTTTACATAAAAGAAATGGAACCAAACACATCAGAGATAAATCAGTACAAGAAAAAATGTATGTAATAATTTTAATAATAAAGAGATAAACAATAGGGAACAAAAAAGAACAGAAATAATAAAAAATGACAACCGAGAGAAAGAAAACGAAGAATTATATGACTAAATATTTAAACAATACTGTGAATAACATAGAAATTTGAAGATGCATGCAAACAAACACGAGTAAACATACACAACTATAATAAAAACTATTTTCATAACACAATATAACAAATAAATGACAGAGTCAATTTGCCTAGAGTATATTAAAATAGAAACCAACTGAGGTGATTAAAATCTTATGAAAATGTTGTTAATTGATATCATCTAAACAAATTTAAATAAAGGCAAATTTACTTTCTGCTGTGTGAAACTTGATTTTTCAAGGTATTCAACTAGCGTTTGTTATGAATTATGGCAAAACCTTACAAGCATGAGGTGTTGATGTCTACAGTCATATCACACACCATAAGCTCTCTAGAAGAGGTTTACAATAAAGTGAAAATTAGTGTCATAAATTTAAGTCCGTACATTATTTCCGCTATCCTATTTCTCCAATAACAAACTCTGTTCTGGTACAATTGTTTTCTTTTGTTATGTCATATCATTTATTGGTTCACTCTTACAAAGTACGAAAGAATTGCAACACAGTGAGTTGGTTTATCTCGATCTATTCTGTTTGATCTTTGGCTGACGTTACAATCACATATATATATTGAAAAGATGTTTTATCGGAAAATGTATACACTTCAGTGGAAAATAACATCGCATACAAATTAGGAGAAACAACACCGTAAACTTCACAATCTCAACCAATAGAGGATTTTAAGTGAAAGCCATAGATATGTAAATAATCTTTTAAATAAAAAGACCCCCCTATTAAGGAAAACCAAATTCCTTTTTCTCCTAGCCTGGTAAAACGTTTTTATTTTTGTATTTGGTAAGAAAATGTATTTGATTTGTAGTGATGAGACAAACTCTTCAAGGTTTTGCAGTCTCATTCACCTAGATCATATAATCACTCAGGCTTATTGTTTTTTTTGAATTTGTTTAAAGTCGAACAACAAGTGTTTAGTGTCATTTTAGTCTCATTAATTATTTAGCATTTGACTAATTAATAACTTTTACCTATATCCACTCTTATATATATGTGTGACTGCTTCTGTGTCTTTATGACCATATTATTTCTTGGGTTACATAAATTACCACAACAAATTATACAACAGTTGATCACTACATCAATCAACAGCATCCAATTCACAGTCCCTCAACCTGTGTAGTCTAAACATGTGGTCTATTGGGTTAATTTGTCTGGAATGTATCTTTTCTCAATCGAATTTTAAGATCGCATTGTCAAGTTAATCTGATTGCACAATGGGTTGGGTCTAGAAAATATATTAAAATAAGATCTAGAATAATTGGAGCTGGATAAGCTTACAAACTGGTGAGCCCAACAGAAAAAATCAACACAACCTACCTCATCATTAAAACTGAAACTATGATAGTACGTATGATAAAAAATGAATAAATGATAATCTTCACTCTAAATCAAAATAGCATTCCATGAACTGAATTTGAAAAATTATTTTTTTTAGCTTTATCGTAGTAACAATTATTTTTTATTTGTAATCTGCAGTTTTGTGTTTATCTATTTTTCTGTAGTTTTCATTGTTAGCTGTACCACCTTACATAAGAAAAAAACTCTAGGAGAATCCATATAGAAAATGTCTCGTTAATGAATGTAGACATACGCATACAGAATGCAAAAAGATACAGTGCATATTTGTCATATTTGATATTGTGGCAAGGAATTATTATATAATAAAATTTTATATTTAATGGTTGTTGTGACATGGAAGAATATCATCCTGCTAGCTATTCAATAATAACTACAGGAAACTGTAATATACAATCCCCAAGATTAATAAACAAATCGTGCATTTAGATTTACAGACGTTTAAGTAAAAGAATAATATTGAATTATTATCGAAAATAATATCAGTTGAAGTCTAGTCTATATTGCTGGTTAAAATCCCGAATATTACTGAAAAATATTCATGGGAATTATTACTTATAACGTGCAGGGTTAAACAAAAAAATCAATGTTCAAAAATCAAATAAGGTTTTACAGTTGAAAGATTATTATTTAGGAATTATGAATAAACTCTAGAAATATTTTAGGCATTCCTAGTGTTAGGATAGGGGTCAAGTGTGTGACTCATTAGAAAATAATATTTAACTGCGACATTTTGACCTTACGACATATAGTTGATTGGTCGAAACAGTAGTAAGACTTTGACCAATTCTGACCAGCTAACAGTGTAAAAGCAGTCTATAAAGGTGAAATATTCTGTCAATACAAGTTATCTGATTTTAGATGGTAAGAAATTTACATTTTCCAGTCTTCGATGTTCAAGAAAATAACTTGTATCGCTTTTAGTCAGAGGAAACTTAGTTATCTATTGGTAGTTGTGAGTAATCTAAGTTGCTGTTAATAATTTGTTTTCAATTTAACTTACCAAATTGAGAAGTCAAGTCACCTAATGATGTATATTGGTTTACTAATAGATAATTAAATACGTACGTTCTATTGTAAGTGAAACACCCTACTTTATTTATGCTTTTCCGAGTTACCTAAGTCTATTTTCGTTATATACTTACAGTATACTCCTAATGTTATCATAATTTCCTTCCCTAAATAAATTTCTAAGCGCAATTAAGGACAATACACTGTTTTGCCAGTTTTTAATATTTTCTGCCTAATTAGAATACGACCGCATTGAAAGGTATTACCATTGAGCTAATCAATTTGAAATTGATTCTTTTTAGAAGTAGATAGATTCAAATTACTAGCCAATATAATATTGCTAAAAGAAAACAATCACTACTGATGATAAAGTAGTAATAATAAAAAGTCTATAAAACAGAGAATTTCGAATCGAGTTAATCATCGAGAAAATAGAAATTGAAATTTTTTTACCCGAATGCATGTGATACACGTCGACCAACACCATTCACATGCCAATCATCTGCAAATAAACCATCTGGACGTGCTGTATAAACAACTAAATATTGTAAATCTCTCCAAGTTAAATTAGGATTGGCTGACAAGGTGAGAGCGCATATACCAGCAGCTAATGGTGCACTAGCCGATGTACCAGAATGATTATCAGTACAAGTGTGATTTAAATCTGTTGTAATCTATTATTCAGAAATGAGAAGAAACAAAACAAAATAAACAAATGAATGAAGAAACAGATTTATGTAATTAAGTTGATTCGAACGACTACAGAATGAAAACACGTTGAAAAAATCCCTTAAAGAATTAAAGCATAATCTTCATGATAATAGTTAGCTATAATCTAAGTTAAGATCAATTTAGTAAACACTTGTGAAAAGTGAAGAGAACAACCGGGTATTTCAAGTTTAAAAAGCAAACCAAAATGACAATCGCAGCTAAAAATCCTTTTTCTGTAAACGCTTTCTTTCATTTGCATAAACATCAGTAACAAAGAATGGATCCCTCATTCTGTGTACATTTAATACTCAAAGTGCCTTATAATAAATATGATAAAAACGAAGACAAATATGGAGTATTGTTCATCCATTTGATTATAAGTAACTTTTCGTGAAAGCAAGTTATAAGTAGTTTTCACCAAAAATTATTAAAAATCCGAAACCACTGGTTGGCTGATTTACTGCAAAAATTCCAATAAATTGATTAATGAATGACAAACTCGTCATAAGACCATACAAATGAAGGATCGTGTGTAAGAACTATTGAGAAGTTACGAAACTAGAGAGGAAAAGTAAACCAATAATTCAGTTTTATTTAGTTATCCAACATATATCAGTTCACTGAAAGGGCAACTTAAAAAGTAAATGATACTTTATTAGAAAGTAGCAGTTATTCACACTAAAAAACACCACAGAAGTACAATTAAAATACCGATGAACAGTGAAAAACAACAGAAACAGAAAAGACGTTAGAAAATCACTAGCAAATTTTCAGTGGTCAAAATAGGTAAAAGGAGAAGTAGAAACCTGAAGAGAAAAAGACAAGAAAGTACACCGTCAATAGTTTTAGTAAGAAACATCAAATTATATTGGATATACGGATAAGTAAGTAAATTGTCAATTCATAACATAACAGATACCTTTTTGTAGGTTATAAAAAAATAGATTATTTCAGTAAGTCACTTCTTCCAACCACAGTTGTCATTGAGATTTTTTCGCATTAAAAATGTATTAGACATCAATTTTTTCCAAGAGACGGAAATAAGTACTACATGTAATGTTTTAATATTGAGTAATAATGACAAGCGAAAAAATTGATTACCAGAATAAAGAAACATAGGTAACATAATGTTACAGAATATATATATGATTAAGGAAAGATGTGCTTAAAATTTAAGAGAAACTACTTTTCTAACAAATACACAACAATTAGATGGCTATCATAAGTAGAAAAAAATGGCTTGTTGGTAAATTATATGATCTCCTCTATAATGTGTGATTTATATTGCACATTTAAACCTATGTTTAAGCTAATTAACGACCACAGTTTCAGTATTGGGGCAAATAATTACACTTCCAGATACAAAATTAACTATTTTGCTAGATTTGGATATTATTAAACCGAATACCGGGTCTGTTACGACAAGTGAGTGAATACACCCAACCTCAGTAAGTCAGGATAATGTTTATAATGTTAGCACTGGTATCCCTAAAGTTTTCCTTAATAAGAATGGAGTAGATTCAATTCGGTAGTTAGTTTGATAAATCGCTTTTTAAACTTCCTGAACGTATTCTTAAATAATTCAATAAAGATCCTATCGATTACCCAAACGTCATTAGAGGGTTAGAGGTATTGCCATTCGAATAAATTAAGTTTATGCAGATGAAAAGGTGAGTTGATGTAAATGCTAGTGTAATCAAATGTTGTGAATTTTTATCACCATCCAAAGGTTATACTGAGGCAAAAGAAGATCCTCCCGTAGAGGTTTGACAGACTATTAAAGGTGATGGGGGACTGCAGACAGACAAATGATGATTCCAGAGACCTTATTATGTATGTGGATGGCCTGCACTTTAATATCATTAAATATAGAACAGGAATTAAATTCAATATCTGTGGTAGATGTTATGGGTAAGAAACTGCCTACTTCCTTTGAATGAGAGTGGATCAAAAGTTTCATTGACAACCGTACAGACTGTAAGGATGATTCAGCAACAGAAAAACTGTCGACCACTTGTGGTGATGAAAACATAGAATAAGTGTGGTATCCTGTGAAAATTGTCAGTGCACGTAATTCTACAAAATCGTGAAACAAAGCAGCTGACGAGACAGACTTCTGAGAATTTTCAAGAATCTTTTAAACAATGAAAATGAAGATTCGACAAATTATTAACCAGAAAGGGATACTACTATGAAGGGGATAAAAATGATGGACCAAAACGAAAGGAAACGTACCCCTTAATAATCAAACAGACCACACAGTTTGTATTTTTAATTGATTACCTCAACTAAAGCGTCAATAGCATCATAAATTAGGCTTTAAAAAATTCAAAAGCTTTAGACAACTCCAACAACGATTGCATAATCTTTTGAGCAGTTTTAGATTATTGTAATTTTTTTGAAATATTTGATAATCTACTATGAAAGGCAAAGTCTACTGTCAACTGATTTTATAATTGAAGATAGCTATTGGAATAGCATGTTCTATATTTATTTCAGAATGAAGACTATTTATGGAAAAGCAAACTTATATAAATTTTACGATCAATCCACTCTGCGAAGTATAAGCTTGTTAATCAATTTTATTGATCACCTGTGAAAAGAAAGTAGTTGATATACCGTAGAAATATTAGTTTTTCTAAAGCATTCCATAATAACATAAAGAAACTATCAATCTCGTCCCATTAGAACATTAAAGTATGTTGTACTTTTCACAGGACTACATATTTTCGGTTGTGTTTGGAAATTCAAATTAGTTTAACTATGTGTCTGAATGGACACAAGTGTCAAATAAATGGGTAGCCCGTTGATCAAATAAACCACATTAGTATGAGATTAATCATTTTAGTCTGAATATATGAGTTCTCCTAAATATTATTTGATCTGTGGTTTATATTAACGAAATTGACTACAGAAAAACTGAGAACCAAGGATCATTAAACAGCCGTATAAAAAAAGGTATGGGACTCCTCAGCGGTACACATCCATAACTCCACTAAAAATGAAACGTATGACCGTCAATATCCATTAAGTTTACTCATTTAAGTGGTTAGAAATACAGGTATCAGTCAGTCAGTCAGTCAGTCAGCTACAACGTAGGACCAGGCACATGTATGCATTGGCCGAGGTTGCCATACCTCATTAGCACAGCAAGATGAACACCGGATTCATAGCAGTGGTTAGGTCAAAGGTGGTAATATATAGGAGAAAGATTGCAATAAGGATATAGTATAGGAAAAAAGAATTAGTTCGTAGAAAGAAAGATGTGAAGTGATCTTAATCTCTTAGTTTAAGGGAAGACAGAGAGTGTATACACCGACGCCATTGTGATTGATTCTGAGCCATGTCACCAAGAGTCTCCAACCATTGGTTACGAAAGTCACGCGGACCCCAACCAAGTAGTCTGCATCTACCAACATGGCTCAGACTAGAAGTTAGTGACTTCAGGCACTGATGCCACGTTTTGGTTTGGCCGCCCCTACAGGTATTCTCGTCTTTAGTACAAACCGGTCATAGTGCCAGTATAAACCAATCTTTTTCAATTATTTATAAGGTAAGTAATTTTTAGCCAAAACTGGTCAGACTGAAAGTCCTTCAAACGGCTGAAGCAATAGCCATCCGGATGAAGAAACCGGAGCTTTGCGTACAGAAGAAATATATTCAACCACTCCTCCTCCCCTGGCCAATATCAAGGCCAATTAATCAATCGTAATCTTAACTATTGAATGAAATAATTTGACTATGACCTTTCGTAGTCAATTGTAATTGTCCCTGTTATCTTTATTCATAAATCTTTGTATTATTATTATTATTATTATTATTATTATTATTATTATTATTATTATTATTGGTTAAACATCATTATTAATCTCCCCTATACATGATTCATTCACTTCGCATTCATCCCTCCGTATTGCGTCTTACTTATTTGATCGAATTGTAATTGCACTATTATTTCTGTCTCACCCTATTTGACCCATATTTATTCTGATCATGGATCTTAAAATTTTACTTAACATATAAGCTGATTCAAGTTAACATTCTATATGAGTCATATTAACACTAACGATTTTATTGTATTTTCTTTATCACAATCCTAAATTCATATGCTCTCAACGATGTATTTTGCCCTTAACCTGGCCATTTTTTCGGATTATTAATTTGGATATATAACTGTAGAACCTGATGAGAATTTATCGAAAAGAATATTCTTCGTTCAAATACTAGTCTTATAAAATGAAAAGTTCACACATGAATAACGTTTTCTTTAAATATTTTATAAAACTTATCCGATTAAATAAAGTAATATACACAAATAAAAAACACTTTAAGATCTTCAGTATACACCAAAACACGTTAAGAAAAAAAGAAGCCATAGTAATATTGTACGTAAAAACCGATACATAAAATCCCCACAAAATAAAAACGAGGCATAAATCGAATAAAAATTAATTTCTCATCAGTAAACGAAAAAAAAACAGAAAATTATGTGCACGAACATAAACAAAAGATGCCCAAGATTTGTTGTTATTGAAGTGAGATAAATTTAATTAACTCAACAAACCAATATACAAAATACACGTCTTTGAAACACAAACAAAACATGTATATATAACAGAAACTTTATATATTAGTTCATTATTCAGTGAGAAAAAAAACATTTCAAAAGTTTAACGCAATAGGGCCAATGAAACATACACACACAAACAAAACGTTTAAACAAAATAAAATTCCAAAACTTGCCGCCAAATTTCTCCATTGTCTGTTCTAATTTGTGTTTTTATCCCAACAAAAAATGAAGTAGAAAATAGAAGGAAAATTTATAAAAATATATTTTATGAATAAATATAAGTCTACACTGTCGATTTCTAATTAGGTTATCACGGTACCATAAAAATCATTGCAGAAAAAAACGAATAAATGAGTATGTTGAGTGATATCGAAATGTGAATATAAGATGATC